GGATTTCTTGGCCAAGTTTGATTATGTGTTGGAGTACAAGCCGGGAAAAGGTAATGTTGTAGCTGATGCCTTGAGCCGGAAAGCCGAGCTTGCTGCCATCACTTCAACAAGTTGGGACATTCGTAAGGCTATAAAAGAAGGCATGCAACATGATCCAGCAGCCAAACAACTTATCGAGTTAGCCAACCAAGGCAAGACGAGACGTTTTTGGGTAGAAGACGGCCTTGCTTACCACGGGTCGGCGGGTCTACATGCCTAAGTTTGGAGACATTAGACGACGGATCATAAGGGAGAGTCATGACACAATGTGGGCTGGTCATCCAGGTCAACGTCGCACTAGGGCCTTGGTTGAGTCAGTCTACTATTGGCTACGCATGCGAGATGACATAGAGTGCTATGTGCAGACTTGTCTTGTCTGTCAACAGGACAAGGTTGAACAACAATAGCCCGGAGGATTTTTGGAGCCACTGCCAGTTGCAGAGCGTCCATGGGAGAGCGTCACTATGGACTTTATCACTTGTCTACCGAAGTCCGATGGTTATGGTACTATTATGGTGATCGTGGATAGATTTTCTAAATATGCCACCTTCATGCCCGCCTCACCGGGTTGCACTGCCAAGGAAGCCGCCAAGCTATTCTTTAAGAACGTGGTGAAGTATTGGGGCTTACCAAGGCATATTATCAGTGATCGAGACCCCCATTTTACTGGAAACTTTTGGAGAGAGTTATTCAACATACTTGGCACGGAACTGCTCTTTTCCACTAGTTTCCACCCACAGACAGATGGACAAACGGAACGGGTAAATGCCATACTAGAATGCTACTTGAGGCATTATGTAAGTGCGCATCAGAAAGACTGGGCAAGGCTCCTAGACATCGCCCAATTCTCTTATAACTTGCAGCGGAGTGAGTCCACGGGGCGGACACCATTTGAGCTAGCCACAGGCCAACAGCCAAAAACTCCACATTCATTACCAGCTGCATTCGAGGGAAAGAGTTTGGGGGCTTATCATATGGCCAAAGGATGGGAGGAGCAGCTTGACACTGCTAAGTCCTACTTGGACAAGGCAGCTAAGAAGATGAAGAAGTTTGCGGACCGTAAGCATTGTCCCATGGACTACAGAGTTGGGGACATAGTCATGGTGAAGTTTAACCCAAGACAGTTCAAGGCACTACGGGGCATGCATCAGAATCTGATTCGCAAGTATGATGGGCCATTTCAGATCGTCGCCAAGGTAGCCAAGATCTCATACAAGCTTGACATGCCATCGTATCTTAAGATCTACCCTGTCTTCCATGCCGGCATGCTTAAGCCATATCATGAAGATAAGGATGATCCGAGTAGGGGCCAATCAAGTCGAGCGCTTGTGACTATCACCGCCTTGCATGATCGGGAGATTGAGGCTATTATAAATTACCAGGCCAGGCGAAAACAAGGGCAAAAAGCCACCGCTATGTTCCTCGTCCATTGGAGGGGGCAATCACCGGAAGAGGCCACATGGGAACGATATGAAGACTTATGGCAATTCAAAGATAAGATCTGAGAGTTTATGCAGCAGCATTGCGCCGCGGTCGTTGCAATATTAGGTGGGGGAGAGTGTGATAACCCGCCAATGTCATCATGCCACATAGGTGCCATTTGGCATATATTAATGCCATGTGGAAGCTTACATAAGAAGAAGGCTAGCATTTGTGAAAAGATTCTAGAGAAGTATGGACATTTCCTTAGGAAGAACCTAGATCATTATGGATTTGCTAGGAAAGTCCTTGGAATCTTCTAGGCTTGTAGAGAATTCTAGAGAAAGCCCTTATCTTATAAATATTAAGGACTTATGTAATAATTATTATTTACAAACTAGCCCCTAGGAGACTAGTATATAAAGGGGGCCATTCATTTGTAATTCACCAAGCAAACAATTCAAGTTCTCTCTAATACAAAACTTCCTTTAAGAATTCTCTTGTGTTCTTTCTACCATTCTCTTAGCGATCCTGAGTGTAGTAAGTCTGACTTGGCATAGCAAGAACGTGAGCAAGCTGTGCAAGATCATGAGCGAGTTTTCAAGTGCCACACGTGTACTTAGTTAACAACTAAGGACGTGACATTAAGTCTAGGAAAACTTGGCTAACAAGGAATTGGGGTGAACTCAAGAAATTGATAGCCCCAATTAAAGGGTTAAATCTAGATATAGTAAGACCCGACTTGAGCATTTATCACTTGTTTTGTGCAATACCCATTTGGACTTGAGAAAGACAAATTGGGCAAAATCACTCTAACTACCGAGAGGTATTGAGTGGGTAATTGCGTGTGATTGCTATATTACGACCCCGACCAATCCAACTTGCCCTAGAGCCTACAATTTGTTAGATAACCACCTAGGAGGAAGTCACGACCCTAGATCTTTTATAAACTTGAAAAACAACAACACCAAAAATTTCTCTAGCTTTTCATTTGCAAACATTAGCATAATCATTAGAAGTAGAAAGAAACAACCAAACATGTGAAAGTGCATTTTGGTCACATCATACACTTAGTCTAGATATATACCTTATCCAATATAAGCTCTCTGTGGAATCGATCCCGACTCACTTTGGGTAATTATAATTGCATTGACCGCTTCACAATCCCAATCAGTGGTGTGAATTTGGGCGACATCATTTATCTGGGATCGTGTTCGGGGGTCGAGGATCAATTCTGAACATCAAAATTCAAAGAAGAAGCAATTGTTGAAGAAATGCACTAGTGCGAGGCACTGTGCGACGCATAGTGCGAGGCATTAGTGTAATTTTATGTCACACATTTTCAAAGTTCAGAAACTGGGTTTTGTTGGTCTGACAGGAAAAGGCACTAGTGCGACGCACTGGGCGACGCATGAAAAGCAATAAGTTTACAAGATTTTCTATTTCGGCTAGGAAAAGGAGATTTCGTCTTGGCCCAACCCTACTTGGTATAAATACATGTAAAAACGTTATTTTGAGGACTTTTGACATACTTTACACCGAAGGAGAACACACCACGCTTGGAGGAGGCTTCTAACTAGTTTTTCTTCTCTTCTCTTCTCTTAGTTTCATAGTTTATTAGTTCTAGAGTTGTTGGGAGTTACATGAACGTTGTGTTTTGAAACTTGAATTGCTCTTATTATTTTATCATATTGGTTTATTCATTCAATCTTGCGCTTAATTATTTGATTGTTTGATCACCAATTGAATACTATCTACGAATCTAGGATTGAACTCGGGAGAGGGAATTCTAGATTGCATATAATATTGAATAGAGCAAGATCTTGAACTCGAGCATCGGGAATGGATTTCCGGTTAGGATAGGGATATACCTAATCACCTTGCTTGGTTATTATACAGGAATTATTAATGTGTTCCTGTTAATTCTAATTCCATAGGAATATAGGCGTTAGATTAGCTTGAATAGGTGAGTAGTACTTCGGGAGAAGGCTACGAGTGATATCAACCCTGTCAACCAATAAACCAGATAAACTAGTTAGACAATTTAAGTGGAAGACTCAACGGGATTGTTAGCTAACCCATAGCTCTAGAATATCGTCTCTCGTTGAATTCGTGTCTAATTTCGCTAACTTGTTTCTTTAATCTCTTAGTTTGTTACTCTAGATTAATTTTAGTTCAATACTCATACTTTAGGATTCACTTGAATAGATTAATTAGTTGATTTAATTGAGTTGATAGTTAATCACAAGTCCCTGTGGATACGATATCTGAACTTACAATCATATATTACTTATCGACCACGTATACTTACGTGTGCGTTTGAGAGCAAACACTTATCATGATAATATGGAGTAATTTTTAGGCTTAGTCCTATCTAGATTACATATTTATGTAAAGGAGGTGATTGTTTCTTCTTATATGAGGTTAAGTTAAACGACACACTTATTTATGTTTCTTATTTTTCTTCACCTTGGCGGTGGCTCTTTACCCCTTAAAAAAACCTCTTAACAGTTCCAAATTTTGTAAACACTTCCTGCTAAATAAGACCCAGATGATTAATCCCGTGCAGCTGATATCAAAATCATAATGTTGAGACATGTAGGATGTGTTTGGTATGAAGGAAATGTTTTCCTAGAAAATATTTTTATGAAAAATAGTGGTTTTATCATTTATTTTTCCTTGTTAGCTGGTGAGTGAATTTTTTTTTCCGGAAAGTATTTTTTAGTATTTGGTTAGAGAGTAAAAAATATTTTTTTATGCTACTCTCCTCATCCCCTTCCCCCAAGTCCCTACGTTTCCTTGTGTAACGACCCGGCCGGTCGNCCCCCAAATATCCAACGTTTTTAGGACTTTATTTTCTTCAACAATTTAATTATTCTTCTAAAAATTCATGCAAACCCAAATGAACTAATGTGCTGCTTTACTTTTTTATGCAAAAGAACATCGAGAATTATGCTCCATAACCATTAAAAAATACTCTTTATTTGGTTGAAAAAGAAGTACTCTTTCTACAATATGAAAATAAAGTAATCATTTTATTGAAATAAAACAAATACTTTTTTTATATCATGAAAAGAAAATACTCATTTTGTTGAAATAAAAGAAAATACTTTTTTTTACATCATGAAAAAAAAATAATTTTTTGGTTAAAATAAAAAAAAAACTTTTTTATATCATAAAACAAAAACGCTCGTATGTTGAAATAAAAAAAAATCTATCTATAACATGAAAAAAAATACTATTAGTAATATTTTTATTTTAAGGTTGGGGAAGGGGCGGGGGTTTGCAGTGGGGTTAGGGGTTAGGGTGGGATGGGTAAGCGGGGGTGTGAGGATGGATTGGTGGGGATTGGGAACAGAGTGAGAATGTTGAAAAATAATTTTAAAAAATATTTTCCCTTCTCTTGATAGGGAAAATATTTTTCTCCCATCGAAGAAAAATGAGTTATATAAAAAAATATTTTCAAAACATTTAAGTCAACCAAATATTGAAAAATTAAAAAAAAAATCCAAAAATATTTTCCTTCGTACCAAACACACCGGTAAAGTCAAATAACTTTTACAATATCCACGTTTTTTTTTAATGTGATTTCTTGAATATATGCTCGATTTTCAACTTAGCATTAGAAGTCGTAACTTCTGTACATCCCAATTACTATATTAAGAAAATGACTAAGGAAGAAACGTTACCTAAAACAATTTACATAAAAAGGAAAATAACCTGATCCTGCACTTTGTCATCCTAAGCAGAATACCTAAGCCTTAAAGAAAATACATCCCCTGCATAAATTTTAGTACAAGGGGAAACAGTGTGTATAACAGAATACATTGTATATGTGCCCACTTACATAAACAAAATCTTGTTAATTTTGCTTTTTTGTCCCCAACTAAAGAATAATAGCGCTCTACCCGTTTCTACCTCATTAATCAGCGCAATATTTCCAATTTGTCTGAACATATCCATGAGCATTCACATTTTACCCTCACCCAAAATTTATCTGTATTACAAATTCAATGCTTTTAACCTTTCACCATTTACCGACTGTAGCCCATATTTACTGTTTGGGTCGGGTACCGAATCCCAAACGGGTCAGGTACCGAGTTCGTGTAGGCTTGTAACCCGGTTGAATTCTCTTGAAAGAAACCCGAGTTGTTAATTCGTTGAGCTCTAATCCCGCTTTCTACTTCTTCATCCACTCCACCTTCAAATTTGACATCTCCATGAAAATTCAATTGCGTGGGGTGAGCGAAAAATTCATTCAAATTCAAATTATTGTTACTGTTTTGGTTGTTCAAATGCAACTGAGATTGACTTCCCGGTGCCGGAGCTTGATTTCCGGTACCTAATTCCGGGAACGAATTAAATCCAGCTAGTATGGCCCAGTCGAAGTTTCCAGAACCCAAGTGTTGAAGATTGAGCTTATCATCTTGTTGTAAATTCCTAAGAGAGTTCATTCTCGGTAAGGAGAAATAACGGTCCTCAATTTCTGGTAGAGATTCGAGCATGTCGTCAAATTGAGACGAGGATGATGAAGAAGAACCGTGACTAATCTCTTTGCTGTTTAAACCAGAAATGTCCGGTTTTTGTCCACCAGAATTCTTCTTATAAATTCGACAAAGCACCCACTCATCTAGCTGAAATATATATATTTAAAAAAAAATATTAATGTCACAATTCAGAAATATAACAAATTGGAGAAAGGGGCTACACGTACCCTAGAACTTCCATTTTTTCTGGGAGATTCACTGAGTCTGTATTCATGCATGATCCAATTAGTCTTAGTTCCTTTAGGTGCTTTTCCAACGTAAAAAACTAAAGCTTTCTTAATTCCAACTTTTCTCCCTTCTGTAGTGATTATTTTATCAGTTCCTGTTGCTTTCCAATACCCAGAGCCAGCTACTCTGTTTGGTCGTGATCCATTCGGGTACTTCCTATCTCTTGGACTGAAAAAGTACCATTCCTTTTCTCCAAATATTGCTTTACCTTTAAAAAATCCAAAAAGAAAATCATTAATAAATCAATTGAGGAAACACTAAAGCTAATTGAAAAAAGCTTTAAAAGATAGAGAAACTTACTTGGAAGAACCCAAGGATCGAATTTATACAAATCAATCTCGGCAATGATTGGTAAAGAGAAATCATGGCCGGCAACTTTGCGGCACAAGTATTGAACTAAAAGCTCCTCATCAGTCGGGTAAAACCGAAACCCGGGCGGCAAACTTAGTTGTGAAAGAGGGTCCGTTTCCTGAACACCCATTATTCTTCTTGACAGCAAATGGTTAAGTCGTAGAGAGAGACTACTGCGAAATCTTTTAAAAATTGAGGAGAGAATTATATTTTCTTTTCTAATTTCTTGAATTATGTGCGATGGCAGTTGTTTATATAGGCAAAGACTGGTAAAAAAAACACTGGGAGATAAGTACGGTCGTCCTTTTCGATGGGACCCAATCAAGTTTATCGTGGGTTCTAAAAGTCGACACGTAGAAACGGTTCTGCATAATCACGCGGCCGACCTTATCTTATGGTAAAAGCCTTGAGGCAAGTGCATGAACCCGTAGCTATACAAGAGAACTCTTTTTTATCATCTAACTTGTAAATTCAATAGAGAATAAATCTTGTTTTTTCCTCTACTATAGGGTAAAAACGGTAATGGTGAAAATAAACATGTATATTCAGTGACCTGATTAATTTTCTTTTGCATTGCACGAGCTTATATTAGCAAAAGAAAAAAAAACGTTTTCACCAACAATTTCTTCTTCACTTATGCTCAAAATCTCTAATTAAGCTTGAGAAATTCCGTCAATTTCATTGTACTCTGCATAAATTCTGATTTTCAACCTCATATAGATAGTCAAGAAAAATAATTGAGGTGTCATAGTTATAGAGGTGAGTCCAGAATTTCAAGAGGATGGTGCAAGATGGATCTAAAATTTACATTTAATGTTATGTACAGATAAAATCAAGGGCAGAATTTTTTCCGATTCCCCGATAAGGAAACAAAGGGGAAACACGGCTCGACGTGATAATTATAATCGAGGCCCAAGGAAAAGAGACCAAGTGGCATAGTATCTGTGTTCGGGTAAAATCGTAGGGACAGAGTTTTTCCCGTTTCCCCGATGAGGAAACAAAGGGGAAGCACGACTCGACGTAATATATAATCGAGGCCCAAGGAATCCTCGTATCGAAACCCGGGAGGAATAAACGATGTACTTGGGATCTGGCACGGTGAAATAATGGACTCGGACCTAGTATGGTTTCTGGACTCGAAAAAATGCGAAGAACGGTTATGCATGACGAAGTAGGGGCCATAACATTCGCCCTCAACCAGATATTACGGTGCGAATTCTGACCGATATCAGTTGCGGATCGCTATTTACCGGAAAGAAGATTTTTACCTTATTTAGACTTGTATTAGGACATAAATTCCTCTACCGGGGAAGGTTTTCTTTATTCTGACACATTGTGACACACAAATCAAAGCAATAAAAATTTATTTTTGTCTTCTAGATATTGTTCAAAGTGTTCTTCATTTGTTCTCTTCTTTATTCGCGATAGAGCTTGTGCCGAGGTTCGATCGAGGACGAATTTCACTGTTCAACCTAAGATCAGACTTGGTCATCACATTGCGATTGGTTTGATAATTTATTTTATCTTTAACTTATTTACGTGTTGTTCTTAGTCATTGATAATGAATTAAATCACATATCTTTTAAACCGCGTACAAATTTATTGTTACTCACTTTTGGGGGTAGACAGTTTGGCGCCCACTGTGGGGCTAAGGATAATAGTGGTTATTTGATACGAATCTCCATAACATACCCTATTTTACGCGTGTTCTTTGAAACTTTGATTCCAGGGTAGCCTAAGTATGTCAAACTCTCCGTCTGTTCACTTGAACGTTGAGTTTGAGTCAGGCCATCATGGTGAGAATAATAACGTGATGCCTAGAAATTATGTGCCTCCTGTCAATCCCAATGGTGTCCCAGCCGCCAGTCGATGCTAACTCACAGGTGTGCCATCAACATCAATTTAACAACTGATCCCGAAAATAGAGTTCGCGCGGGACCCCGGCTAGCGGCTCGAGAAGCGCCCGGAGGTAAAGGTGATGGGGAGAGCCTGCAATTGATTTTCGAAATGTTGCAACTCAACAAGCGGTGATAGCACAGCTACAGAACCGAAGCCACGCCCCTAACAGGGTCGGGCCCGAATAGTCCCGGGAAAATACTAGGAGGGATGAACAAGCTGCCATGGAACCAGGTGAAATGAGGCCGGGGGAAACTTCCAATGTGATGAAGATACTCGAAACGTTAAAGAAACGAGAATCAGGCGAGAAAAAGAAATTGAGGCCAATGACAAGAAGGTGGAAACATACATCTCTAGGGTCGATCAGATCCCAAGAGCACCTCCGATATTGAAAGGACTGGAGCCGATCCCGAAGAGGTTTTGAATGCCCGAAATTCCCAAGTATAATGGGACCACAAATCCAAATGAGCATGTAACCTCATATACATGCGCGATCAAAGGGAATGACTTGGAAGATGATGAAATCGAGTTGGTATTGCTGAAAAATCTTGGGAAAACCTTGTCCAAGAGGGCAATGATATGGTATCACAACTTGTCTCTGAATTTTATCGATGTGTTTGCCCATACCGGAGCCATCAAGGTCGAAACCAGGAAGTCAGTCATTTTCAAGGTCAAACAGACGGATAACGAGATGCTTAGGGAGTTCGTGTCAAGGTTCCAGATGGAAAATATGGATTTGCCACTAGTTGTGGATGATTGTGTCGTTCAGGAATTCACTCAAGGGCTCAACCCCCAAAGATCCGTGGCCTCTCAACAGCTAAAGCAATACTTGGTGGAGTACCCAGCGGTCACCTGGGCTGACATCCACAACAGATATCAGTAGAAGATCAGGGTCGAAGACGACCAACTCGGGGCCCAGTTGGGTTCTGTTTACCCTATCAGAACCGATGATAGATCTAAGAGAACCATTGTTCAAGAACCGAGGCCGGTTTGAGATTAATATCAGACGTACAACGCGAAACGGAGGAGAAGCAAATCCGGGCGCCACCTGATAAGGAACAAGAAGAGGAATGATCGAGGACCGAGCGACCGGAGCATGATGAGTAAGAGCGGGTTTGAGAGGTCGTTCGGGATTAGGGAGGCACCAAAATTATTAGAGTATAATTTCAATATGGGCGCTGCAAGCATTGTATCACGTCGATTGTAATTATCACGTCGATAGTGGTCAAGCATAATATCAACCATAAGGCGCATCAAAGAGACCAAGTGTCCCCGACCATTGTAGTCTGTCCCTCTCTAGAGAGATCCTAATTTGATGTGTAAGTACCACGGAACTCACGGTCATACTACCGAAGATTGCCGATAGTTAAGAGAAGAAGTTGCTCGACTGTTCAACGGTGGGCCCCTTAGAGAATTCCTAAGCGAGTGAGCCAAAAACCACTTCAAAAACAGGGATGCCAACAAATATGTAGAACAAGAGGAGCCTCATCACGTAATCAACACGATCATTGGAGGAGTCGATGTCCTCTAAGGGCCAATGATAAAATGCACTAAAGTGTCTATCACGAGAGAAAAACTCACCCTGGATTACGTCCCTGAAGGAGCTATCTTGTTCAGCGATGAAAACGCCGAGGGCATCGTACAACCTCACCACGATACATTGTTAATATTTGTACTTATGAATAAATCTTGAGTTAAGCACGTGTTGATCGATCCAGGTAGCTCGGCTGCATCATCAGATCAAGGATCGTAGAGCAACTGGGGTTACAAGACCAAATCGTACCGGCGGTCCGGGTATTGAATGGATTCAAAATGGCATGCGAGAACACGAAAGGTGAGATAATATTACCAGTAAACACTGTCGGGACCACCCAAGAAACAAAGTTCTACGTGATCCACGGGATATGAGGTACAACGCTTTGTTCGGAAGGCCGTGGGTCCACAACATGAGGGCGGTGCCTTCGACCTTACATGGGGCGCTAAAATTTCCCACTCCGTGAGGAGTCAAAATGGTCTTTGGAGAACAGCCGGCCGCAGGAGAAATGTTCGTTGTCGATGAAGTGATCGCGGTGCCTGCGGTTTTAATATCAAAAGCGCAGAACCGACCAAAAAAGAAGAAATTAAATAGCAATCATTGATACCGGCCTCGGCCGAGCCGGAAAATAGAAAGATCATGGAGCGGATGATGAGGACGATTACAGTGTCCTGATATCATTCATTGCACTCGATGACACTGACGCCACCAAATCGACGATCGAGGAGTTGTAGCAAGTTATATTGATCAAGCATCTACCGAATCGAAGGTATACCTGGGCACATGATTAACCTCCAAGCTCAAGAAAAAACTTATTGATTTTCTCAAAGCTAACGCCGACAGTGTTACATGGTCCCATCTAGACATGACAAGGATCCCACCGGAGGTAACCACTCACAAGTTAAGCTTGGATCCGAAGTTCCATCCGGTGAAGCAGAAGAGAAGGCCACATTCCGAGATCAAACACGTATTCATCAAGGATGAGGCATCCAAACATCTGAAAATAGGTTCCACCCGGTAAGTTAAATACCTAGATTGGTTAGTTAACATATTGGTAGTGCCTAAAAAGGAAATAAACTGAGGATGTGTGTAGATTATAAGGATCTAAACAAGGCATGTCCAAAGGATTCTTTACCTTTGCCTAACATCGATCGAATGATCGACGCGATAGCTGGACACAAGATACTCAATTTTCTCGACGGCTACTCCGGTTACAACCAAATTTGTATGGACCCGGTAGATCAAGAAATGACTTCTTTCATAATAAATTCGGCACCTACTACTATAATGTAATTCCATTTAGATTAAAGAACGTCGATGCCATATATCAACGCCTAGTCAACTGGATGTTCGAAGAACAAATATGACAATCAATAGAAGTTTATATTGACGATATGTTGGTTAAGTCCCTACGAGCTGCGAGCAAAGGACCACTTGAAACATTTGCCGTAAAACTTTGATGTATTAAGAAAGTACAACATGAAGCTAAACCCGAAGAAGTGCGCATTTGGGGTCGGCTCGGGCAAGTTTCTCGGATTCATGGTATCTAGTCGGGGAATAGAGATCAACCCAAAAGAAATAAAATCTATAGAGGACATCACAGTAGTCGACAACGTCAAGCCAGTGCAAAGACTAACCGGGCCGATAGCCGCATTGGTCCGGTTCATCTCGAGATAGTCGGATAAGAGTCATCGGTTCTTCTCATTTTTGAAAAAGAAGAACGATTTCTCTTAGACTCCGGAATGCAAACAAGCTTTGGAATACCTATCGAGCCCCCCTTTGCTGCACACTCC